ATGAGGTTGGGATGAGGGAAATAGGGTTGGGATGAGGAAAAATGAGACTGGGATGAGGGAAAATGAGGTTGGGATGGGGGGATATGGGGGAAAATGGGGTTGGAATGAAGGAAAACTGGATTGGGATGAAGGAAAGTGGGATTGGGATGAGAGAAATGGGGCTGGGATGAGGGGAAATGGGGTTGGGATGAGGGAAATGGGGGAAAATAGGATTGGGATGAGGGAAAATGGGGGAAAACAGGTCTGGGGGGGCTTTGGAGGGTCCCCAAATTGTTCCTGTGTCCCCCCGGCAGCCCCGGCTCGTGGCCATGGCCCAGGACAAGGAGCCCGAGGTGGCCCTGGAGGCCGTGAAGCTCCAAATCCTCCTGGTCCAGTCAGTCTGGGGGGGTCCTGGGGCGTTTTTGGGGGGGATTCAGGCCCAGGACAAGGGCTTCAGGACCCCCCCAAATCCCAAATTCCCAGGAATGTGGGGGATTCCCTGTCGGAGGAGGATTGCCAGAGCATTTATCCCGTGGTTTTCGTGGCCAACCGGGCCCTGGCCTCGGCTGCTGGAACCTTCCTGTTCCACAGGTGAATTCCCGGGAATTCTCCCCATTCCAGATCCCGGGAAGGCTCCGAAAACCCTTGGAATTCCCCCCTTTTCCCTCCTCCCAGCCCTCAGGGAAAACATCTGGAGCCCGGGGGCGGCTCCTGCCGGGAATTCTCTCGGAATTGGCTCCGGGAACCTCTCAGCAGCTGGAATTACCTCATCCCTGTCCCATCCCTGTTCCATCCCTGTCCCTTCCCGGTCCCTTCCCCGTCTCCCGGGAATTTGGGGTGGGGAGGAGAAGCTGTTTTTTCCCGAATTCCCGGAATCCCACCCCTGTTTTTCCCGATTTTCTCCCCATTTCTCCCCATTTTCCCCCCAATTCTCCCAATTTTCTCCCAATTTTCCCCCCATTTTTCCCAATCCTTCCCAGTTTTCCCCCATTCTTCCCCAATCCCACCCTTTTTTCCCCCCATTTTTCCCAATCCCACCCACTTTTCCCCATTTTCCCTCATTCCCCCCCTCTAACTCCAGAATTCCCCATTTTCCCCCCCATTTTCCCTCTTTTTCCTCCATCCCAATCCCATTTTTCCACAGTTTTCCCCCATCCCAATCCCAAAAT